GAGAATAAGCAAAGAGTTTTTACTAGAGAAAAATTCCTTGCAAAGTTTCTCTAGAAATGAACTCTATGTTTTTTAAATCCTTTAGAAAAGAAAAGATATACAAGGCTTTCAAACATCTCTTCTTAGATTTTGTTGCAGGTATAAATGGCTTCTCGACTAAAATTTTCTTTAAACTTTGAAATTATATCAACAAAAATCTAATGGAGGTGATAAAAAAAGCATTCTCTATAGGTATTCTAAGTTGTTTTCTCAACATCAGCTTGTTTTGTCTTATCTCTAATGGAAGATGCAAAATCAATCTAAAGAATTAAAGCCCAATTATACTATTAGGCTCAATTTACAAAATTCTTGCTAAAGCTATATCTAGATGCCTCGAAACATTGCTCAACATGCTTATTTAGCCCAATCAAATTGACTTTTTTAAAAATAAAAGTATATTTGATAATATTTTTTTGACTTTGAAGATGGTGGATTGGACTTTAAAATCTTATCAATCCATGGTTAAGTTTTTATTAGATTTTTAAAATATTAATAATAGATTACAATGGTAGTTCTTAAAAGATATCATAAAAGCCATAGATTTTAACAATATCTAGATCAAGTAGATCCAAATACTATATAATGACTGTTGGTGCTTAATAGATATTAATAGAATAATTAATCCCTCTTTTAAGCTACTTCATTTAGTTTAATAAGGCTATTTATTTTCTCCCTTTATGTATTTTTTTATCATAGAATAGTAAGATTATTTCTTTAAATGTGAAGAAAGAGTATAAAGTATCTAGTTTTTAGACTTTAGATTCTACATTACTGAGAAAAAATTTGAAGATGATATTAATATATATCTTGTTGGCATAAAAAATAATTTAGACCAAACAAAAATAATACTATCCTTATTTATATTGGCCACAAGTTCTCAAGTAAACTAAGATAAATTCCATGCCATATAGATATTGTAAGAATCCAAACCATTTACATAGAAGACAACAAAAAACTTCAATGGCTAAGGCTTGTAGAGACAACCTATTATTTTGATTTCACGATCAATTTATAGGTCCTTTTGAAAGTCCAATTCAAGATTGTCATAACAAACCTCAAAATAAAACTTATGTAATGGATAACTATCAAATTGATGCTGGTCAATAGAATTATAATTCTAAATCAAGTACTACTTGCATCAATTTGGTTTATTACATCATGTTGGAATCCAAATTTTTACTTTATCTTTAAAGTAAAGATATTCTTTAAAAAATATATCTAGAGAGGTGAAAATAGAATGAAGAAGTGACAAGCAAAGGTCATATGGAAATCCTTGATTCTACCATACAAATTTGGTGATTTAAAAATCCTAGACTTAGAAGCACAATTGAAGGCTTTGATGGCCAAATTGTTGGTTTGCAGTGTCTTTTTTGGCCACTATCTTTAGAAGGTCTTCTTCCAATATAAACTTTACTTGCTATAATCTAGAGAGGGTAGACAATGGATATTTCATATTTAATTTATGCTTTTTATTAATCAAGTTCACAACATAGAATTTGATGTGTAATAGACAATATGGAATGCCTAAAATAGTATTGGACATGGTCTTATTTTTCAACATCCATCTAATATTAAAACTATTGCTTGCTAGTATATTTTTTAGAATTTAAAAATATTTATTACCTCAAATAGTAGGTTAGATGATTCAACATATTCTTTTGGTTACACATAGATGTAGAAGAATGCTTTTCAAGTTAAGGACCTCTAAAATTTTCAAATCAAAATATAAAAACTTATCCAAACACTTGGTTGTCATCATATTATGCAATAATGTGCCAAAATAGTAGCCGCAATACCTAACACATGGAGCATAATACAAGCATTAGCATTCAAAGAATTCAAGTGGATTATCACTTTTGATAAAAAGAACGAGATCCCATAGATTATTCAACCAAGTCACTCCCATGATGGAATATTATTTCATTATTCATATTTTGACTAATACATTCTATTTTTAGACTCAAAATTTTCAGTTATAAGATAGAATTTATATCAAGTGAGAATATTGACCTTGGATGGCAACTATCAATTAATAATTCTCAATTCCAATCTAACTTATACAAGTTCTATATTATTAATGGATTTGGTATGCAATTTATCTTTTGATCCTAGAGAGTAAAAATGATGCATATGATACTTCTTTTTGAAAATAGAGTTTTTTCAATACTCTACAAAAAAAAATATCAAGTGACAATTTTACAAAAATATCAATTTTTGCATTTTTATTTTATAATTTACCAAGTTCGCAAGACACTATCTTAATAGGCATGATTTCATAAAACCACATCTTGAGTTAAATAGAATCATATAGCATATCAAAACATACTAAATTTGTAGCCAAGTTTAGCAATACATGGTGTCACAAAACCATCTTTTATTTAGTTGATTTGTTTTCTCTTTAGTGGAATCTATCACTAAGGCTCATAGACTTGACAACTCTAAGCGAGACTAGGCTTTAAGTGTACTTATTTTATTTTTTCTATTTATTGCTGCTACTTTTGAAAATAAAAAATAAAAAAATAAAACAAAATAAAAAAAATATCTACTTTTATTCTAATTTTTGTTTGATGGGCATGTTGTAATATGTATTGTCTTATTTGGGAATGCACTAGGCACAACAATATGGAAGGTGAAGTTATATATTACAAATATACAAGAAATCCTAATAGGTTTCACCCATATAAGAAGAATGCAATTTGAATTTTAATTCAATGGTACTTAAAGCTAATACAAAGTATTCAAAAATACTATTTTTAGTAACTTCAACCATACATAAATTCTAATTGCCTAATTACTTTTATAATTAGGTAATTTTGATTTCTCTTTGCAAGTCCTAATTCTAGTTGGTGAGCTTTGGAAAGCTGTAACTATTAATTTGATTGTCCACTTAGTACAAAATTTTGCATACAAATGCTACTATAAGTCTTCTACATTGTAAAGAAAATTCAGCCCAATCCAACTTATAAATTGTGAAAAAAAGCCCAAAAACCACATTGATGTCACTTAGCCGCCAACTTGAAAGTTGATGCAGATGTTCTAATAGCAATTTTTCCTTCTCCAATTGTTGACTTCAACTCAAATTCAATATATAGATTAACCTTGAAGTCTTCTACCACCTTGTTAAATTTAACCTTCATCTGACTTGTAGATCTTCAAATATCATAGAAGCCCTATCCAACTCCAAATTGCCAACTTCTAATATCTTCTTGTACCAAAACCCAAATATCTCTCCATTGCACCATTAGATTGACACAATTTTATACACACTTAGTACGCCCAATTTACCAAATACTTTCAAATTTTGAACTATATATGTAATATCAATTGCACAAAATAGCCAAGAGTGCTAGTCCTAATTATATTATATTAATCTCAAATCACCGATATAAAACTTGAGTTTGAACAACAATTGCAAAGTCATTTCAAACCCTTTGAAAATAAGTCTTATATTCTTTCAAATTAGCTTGAAGCTAGCTCACCAACTCTAATTGCCGATCTTTGAGTCCCTCCCTACTTTGCCCAAGGTGGTCGTTTTAGTGGCTAAAGGTATGATTTTGACTCTATTCTACAAACTATCAACCCTCAGGTATCAATTTAACCTATCCTAGGGATTTTTTAGCCCAACCCTACCCTCAACTCAATCTTAGTATCAACAATGCTAATTATTTAACTCTTCTAACTTGATTTTATCAATTTATGGCCTTTGTAAGGTAGTAAAAGAGTTTCTACAATCTAGAAGGTAAAATTACTAACCAATCTTTAATCTACTTGCTATTAAGACAAGAAAATAAACTAAGAGGCTTTTATAAAAGCCATGTTTAAATATCTTGAATTATTATTAAATCATGATGATTAGATATTAATTAGAAATTCATTTTTGATTATATTTTCACCATATAGTCGTGTTACAACATGATAGTGGTTTTTTGAACTCACTTTACAAAGCATGTTTCTAATGTTGCTTGATTCTAATTTCCTCCAAACAAATGAAGTTATGTTGGATTTATGAGAACTTTAGTAGTTTTTAGATGGATCTATGGATCTTTGGTAGTTTTGTGAAAGGTATGGAAGCTAAGCATATATATAAATATATGGATTCATAGCAATTATTAATTTGATGAAACATCAATATTGCATAGGAAAGCAATAGGAAAGCATTTATAATGTTGCATTGTGATTTGCATTATTATTTGAATTATGAACATGAACAGTTCTGATGTCACAAACTATGTTGATGAAAATAAGAAGAATGAGATTGAAGTAATTTGTAATTTGAAACTATGTCTGATATTGTTAAATATTGGGTTGCACCCCTTAACTGAATTTTTAATCACTTTGTGGATGGTTATAGATGATGAATACAGCATCACACATATAATTGTCAATTTTTTTTTTTTTTTTTTTTTTTTTTACAATCTGAACAGTTTGAACAGTTTAAAAAGAACTTGGGATGTTCATGCATACATTACATGCTTACTAATGATCCTGAAATAATTGGTGTGTATATACTGCATACCCCTACACACACGTCACACATAGTTTTCCCATAAATTAATGCTTGCAATTTTCAAAGGAAAAGTCATGTATATATATATATATATATATATATGAATGAATATATGTATGTTATACAACTACATCATTTTAGATGTTTTTTTTATTAAAAAAAAAAAAAAAAAAAAAAAAAAAACTAATATAACCTTTTGATGAAATTTGTCAGAACTAAGCCACAAAATTTATGAACTCGAATGCTTTCACATTGCAAGGCTTTTTATATTAGGAAAAAGATTTTGTTTAACTGTTTTTAATTTTCCAAAGTATTTATGAAGTTTCATATTTCAGCACACTCACCTCAACATTAACCTGTTCAAGGTGCTTCAATCCATGACATGCCCATCCAATCACCTAAGATGGAACAAATGTGAAACATTTGCAAGATGGGCAGAGTTCGACACGACACATTACCGAAATGTCATTAAAGAGAAAGCTATTCTGTTAACTGGAGATTTTGTCTTTTAAGTCCCAAAACCACCAGAGATCAGTGAACAATTCACGAAATGGGGCACCTTGGAACTGAGGCCGCACAAAACAAAACTTTCGTGAAGATGGCCAGATTGAAGAAATCACAGTGGAATTCCTCATCAGAGTTGTTACATAATCCTTTCTAGTCTCCCTGTACAGTTTTATAAACAAGAGATGTCATGCAGCAGACACTAATCCTCAGAGATGTTCGATATCCCACGCTCAGATTCAATACTTCGAGAAACAATCCATTGATTTCATGCTGAGGGCATCGAAGATTATGGCGTGCTGCTTCGAATCACACAGCATTGAAACCAGATTACTGGTGTGCAACTGTTGCGACTCTAGTGTTATTGTGCTGGGACTTCAGCTGAGCACGCCCCGGTCCAGACAACTGCGGCACTCCACTGGGATAATATCCCTTTTCGTTTCCGGTGCCATACTGATCCTTGCTGTAATGACCCGTTAACACAGCTTCCTTTAGAATGTGGCCCTCCATAGCCTCCTTGAGCCTGTCTACATTCGGCTGCATTGCAACGAGATGTCCAAAGCAATTCAGTTCACCGTTTCCACATGTATTGTAATCTCACCGAGGTTTTGACATGATTCAGCCCTAAAAATCGACGAAGAGCTTTGGAAAGCGAAGATGAAGAAGTAACGGTGAGTGAGTACCTTCTTAGGGACCTTAGGATACGCATCAAGAGCATAGAGCCGGAACTCGTAGTTGTGCTCTCCCACAGGTGGCTTGGGACCGAAGTAACTAGGAACTTTGAAATCGTTGATGCCTTCCCGGATCTGAGTCAGCTCATCCCTGTCATCGTCATGCTCTTTGGTGGTGAAATGTTCTGGTAACCCTGCCGCATCGAATCCATCACGCAAATGTTAAACACTCCACGCACAGGTTTAGTCAACAAAAGTGTCAATGAGCAGGAAATACACCAAATATGAAGGAACATACACGCATTTTCAAGCATGAAACCGGGATTTTACCTTTAAGAGTGGGCGGAATGTTGAGCACTACCCTGCAGCGGCAATTACACCAGCAGCAATCGTGCATCAGAGGAAAAATTACATATATATATATATATACATACATACTACATAGGACACTCCTGCCCTACCAAATTCTTACAGATAAGTGGCATTACAATCACGGATCAAGAGAACAACAACAAGAAAAGGCTTGCTTCTATTGCGCTGTAATGAAATGAGTAACACACACAAAAATTGTAAGGTTAGGTTAGGCGTCAAACTGTGACACGGTTTACTGAGAAAAATACCAGTGGCAAAAGCTGCGGGGACTCCTCTCCATCTGCGGTGCAGGGTCCTCCACGATGAGCACCAAGCACACCGTCTCGTCCGGAATATTGTACCACTCCAGCGGCGGAGAAATGTTGCTCCTGGCTCCCTGCCCATCTTGTGTGTACTGCGGCGGAATGCGTTCGCCGTTCTTGAACGCTCTGCTGGTGATGTACATCGCTGATTCGTCCATAATGACTCGCTCTCAAATTCCTCAGCAACTCTCCAACAAGAAAAAAGAAACAAAAAACAGCACTTGCAAGCCACTGAACTGCACACGAAGAGACCTTCCTAACGATGTCGAACAAACAACGAAGATTGTTGTCTTCTGTACAAGTGATGCTGATTATGAATAGAACAATAACGATTTTAAACAGCAAGCCTGGCGATGGGGCAGCCAGGGTTGGTGCCTCCTTCAGGAGACACCGAAGTGTACAAGTGTGTACAAGTGGCTAAATTGGAGATTGACAAATGGTGACAAGTCAGTCTGGCTCCGCAGATATTCACCAACGTCAGATGCGTCGTGGAAGACTCTCGATGAAGCATTGGATTATTCGTGGCCTCTGAAGGAAGTGGGTGACTGCAAGGGACCACTTCACTCTAGGAGCCATAGCTGTCAACACCAAGTTTTGCGAGCAAATTGTTGGCAGTCACGAACAACCTTCAAAAACTGCTTTCAAAATTGCATACCAAGAATTAAAATCGATTGAAATAGTAAATCCTTGCATCTGCATTGTTCAAACTCGTGACAAAAGCCCGATCACAGAAGTACGCACTACGAAGAAGTGGCATTGCTGATGTCAATATTGGTATTGAATTTCTTAGTTCAGAACCTTTGAATTCTCGCAGGAAAGTTGTTTTCCTTGTAAATGTTTCTCAACGAATTCGAATACAAATGTCCAAATTCTGGTGTAATGCATGCGCTACATGAGATAAGAAACAAATCCATGCAAATTCCTTGACATGTTGTAACTGATGTTTTGTAAAATTCCCCAGCTACTAGAATTAGGTTTTATAAATTATTAGTTCACACTCATGAACCGATTAGATGGTTTTAACCCTGGATTATTCAGTTCGTCTTATCAGCGAAGATTGTTAAAAATCCGCTTCTGCAGTGAATTCCACTAGGCGCTCGCTGCAACTTGTCATGTACCTCTTGCAGATTTGGGGTTTAGAACATGCCATGAGAACCTCCTGTTTGTCGTTTTAAGAAATGCAGATTGCAGACTCTAAATTGCTATGATCGACGACGAGGCGACGATCAGATACAAACGAGAGAGCAAATGTCAATCCTCTGATGTGAGGAAACGACGTCGAAGTTCCTGAGACGTCATAAAACTTCACACCCTTCTGTTGTCGAACACCAACCCTGTTAAGATGTTCTTTCCAAGTCTCCGGCAATTGTCTGACTCCATCTCTAAGCTCCATCTCCGTCCGAAATCCTTGCTGGCTACAGTCGCCACCAAGGGGCCAAAATTCGAGACAGTCTTGGAACCAGAGGCCAGAGTTTCAAGCTGAATGGGACACAGAGGTACCTTCTTCATGGCCTGAAAAGCTCGATTGCAATACACGATCCTTGGAACCATCGCTAAGTGTGAGGGAAGTGGGACCATACCACCATCACAAACTACGAGGGAGATTGCATTCACTCGATCCGATACGATCTGGTCGAAAAGCTGCAGTAGTGTCGGAGTCATGGCACCTTTGTTGCCAGAAAACTCTTTCTGTATTGCAATTTGTGCTTTGAATGCCATGCCTCTGGCAATCTCTTCAGCTGCACCCCTCTTCAGAAGAATCTCGTCGGTCCAGCATGAGTTCCGTGTCCATGTGGTTGTCTTCAGGCGATCTAGATTCAAAGATGTTTTTTTCACAGGTCATTGGCAGAGTAGTTTCCGGCACCGGTACTCTCTTCTGTGTTGCAGTAACAGACATCAAAGTCTAGACTCGTCATTGTATAACCAGAAATACGAAATCCTACAACTAGTTGCAGCAAATTCTCATCAGCACTGGGAATAAGTAATCTAGACAACGAAACGGAATAATCCAAGCACACAGCCTGGTTAGATATAAAAGAATCAGTACCAACTTATTCAAACGTGGGTTACTTAAACTAAAATACTTGACATCGACTATAACTTCAAAACAGAACATGGTATGCGCAGCAAAACTTTCCAATTCTCTCCAATTCTCTCCAATCAGCAGCTCTCATAAGCAATCTCGCTGCTTTTTCTTTTTTGCTATTTCAAGTTTTTTGAGCAAGCTCTAAAGAGGGAATCGTGTTTTGGATTCTTCGGAACCACATAAAACAGAATACTTAGCTTTTTCCCCTATTTTTTTTTCTTCTTTCTGTTTTGTTTCTATTCTGTAATTTAAGAAACCAATCATCAGAGAAGCAATAAACGTGGTTTTTGTTCAGGTGTCTAGTATCATTTTCACTTTCTGCTTTTATTGAATACGACAAACTTGTAAAATTTCAAAGCTTTCCACCAATGTAAAGCAACCCAGATGGGAGCTTTTCTGTTTTATTCCTGTTTCTTTCTTTTTTGACACAAATTCGAGATGTATTAGGTGTTTTAATCCAATTAAAGGTGGGAATTACAAAAATGCTTCTTATGTTCTAGTATTCTTGGTTCAAGGGATTACAAGAACAACAAACCAAGTTATTGTACAAGGGGTTTTATTTTTCTAAGTTTTCATAAGTTATCAAGGCATTGTGTGATACTCCAAAGTTCTCCTTGATTGCCAAATTAGATCTAATTCCAATCAAATCTCTTGATATTCATAATTTAACACATTTCTTGAAAATATTGCCTTGTGATTTAGTTGTTGGTTTAATCTTTTTCTTATGGATTTCCAAAATATTTGACCATGTTCAAAGAGTTAAGACCAAATCCGTTTTTTGATATGGAAGTCACTCCATACTTTAGTTTCATAAATAAGTTTGATCTTTTGATTTTAAATGGTCCATAAGCTTAAACTTCTTAACTACAATCAAATAATATAAAAGCTCTTCAAATGTGAAGAAATAGTACTAATAAAAATTAATTTTTTAAAAAGAAGACTTCTTATGAATCCTATTTTATAAGCCTTGATATTAATTTCTATAAAATAGAAGTGACTCTATCACATATGCTACAAGCTTGATGATATTTTTAAAAATTTTATATGATGGTTTTAGATTTTTCAAGTATGCATAATGAGCAATAAATGTCAATACTTGAAGTAGTTTGTACTTCCTATGTATTAACCACCATCCCTTTATATCAATTAAGCCACATAAATATAGTTTTTGTATATCCTTTAGGCCCAAATAATAAATCATGTAATTTTTAAGAATAAAAAATAAAATAAATTATTATTATTATTATTATTAAAAATAAATAAATAAATAAAACTCTATTTGGTTACCGTTAGATTTATTTAAGTATCATTATAACAAATCAAATTTCTTCTAAGTTTTAACAAACATATCATAAAATTCTCTTCAACTCATCAAAAATAGATATTAGAATAAAATTTGATTTCATTAGAAAGGTCAAAGAATAGTTTAATATTATCTTTATATTTTTTTATTAATATTGGTTTAGGTGTTGTTTTAATAAATTTTAGAAATAAAGCTACTTAATTATGTAAATTTTTAGGATTATTATTTTTTTAATTAGTTATTTTAAGAGATATTTGAATTTATTTTTAACTCTTTAGAGACCATTTGAGTAAAAATAGCCACTTATTTAGATTCTAGATAGAGATTGGCAAGTGAAAATTGTGGATCCTATCATAACAATCTATTCTAAATTTCTTAGAGAGTTGTATAAAAATTGAGGTATATATAAGACACTACAAATGGTCAAAAACTTCTTCATTTATTTCAAATCCTTCAAACCAATACTCTATTTGTGATTAGAAATCCATACCTAAGTACAATCATAAAACCACCAGTTTTTAGTTGTTGGTTTGATATGGATCAATTTGTATCTAAAAAATTGTTGAATATTAGCTTGTCTACATTGTAAGGCATCTACAATCTATTTGGCTAAGAAAGCTTTTGTGGCATCTTCAACATCTATTATACCAAGTCATCATTGTACTATAAATAAATAACAAATTAACCAAGCTACTTTGAATTGGGTCAAAGACAAAGTATTCTTTTATAAGAAATTTCTTGCCATGGATAAATTAGATGGCATATAAGTAATTTAACTTGCATTTTATTCTATCAATTTGAAATTTGTCTATATCTTATATTTGTAACAATAGACTGAAAGAAATTGTTTAGATTATTAGAAGATGTCTATCTCCAACCAAAGTCATTAGTCTATTGAGAACTGATAGTTTTCTTATATTACTAATAAGCAGCTACATTAGATCAATTTATTGTTTTAATTTTAATATTGATTTAAGTTATTTTAGACTTTTTATTATGATTTTCATATTACCTTCATCTTCTTTTATAGAAATAAAAAAATAATTCATATATTGCCAAATCATTTTTTAATCACATATCTAAGATATATCAATATTATATAGTGGTTTTATTCTTAACAACTATTTGAATGGAAACATTAATTATTTATCCAGTAATAAATAAAGAACGGACTAAGGGACATCTTTGTTGTACATCTTTTTTTAATAGAAGATTATTTTGTAAAATAAATTTGATTCTTACTACACTTGTTCCATAAAAAATAATTTGTATCATATGATAAAATTGGGCATTGAACTTAATTTTTCCATAGCTCAAAATGTAAAATTTCATAGGAATTTGTCAAAAGTTTCAAAAAAATCAATTTTTAGAAAGGATAGAGGTTGTGAAGATAATTTGGTCTAATTTATATATTCTTAGGTGACTAAGATATTATCAAGAATATATCTCAAAGAAAAAAAAAAGTTATTTGGTCCAAGTATATTATCTCCATTAGTTCTTATTATAATTTCCTTTTAGTGTACATTTTGCATGATATATTTAATGAGGTAATTGGATGCTAGTTTCAAAATCTAATCTTTTCATCTCCCTTATAAAAAAGAGTGAGATGTCCTTTTATAACACATTGTAGAAAATGACTATTTTTTAAAGCTTGGTTGATCATTGCAATATTATCTCCATTTTTAATATTCCAAAAAATATTGCAAAATTCAATTCCTACTCCAATAGAACCAAGGACTTTAACTTTAGTCATTTTGTCAATAGTTTCTTCTAGTTCATTGTAAAAAAAAGAAAAAACAACTTGTCATTCATCAAAAATATAACCTTGCAAAGAATAATACAAAGAATAGTACCAAATAGAGAATTAGAAATTTCTATTGCAACTAGAGACATTTTATGTTTTTCATAAAAATTCACATAGAAGTTATGGAAACTTTTATCAAATTGATGGGATTTTCTTCGTACATCTTGAGGATTTTACAATTCAATGATCAGAAATATTAAATGTCTAATTTTAATAAATTTTAATAGGCCTTCAGCATTCCTATCACCAAATTTTATCTGCCTAATGCAATCTCAAATTCTTTGGCCTTCCTATTTCCAATCTTAATAATAACATAATTGACTTTGGGTCTTTTGAAGGATTAATTGGGATATAAAGTCTTGATCAATACCAACATACCTGCCAAAAGTGAGAATAGCATATACAAATATTGGTTTTTCATTAGATTTGTAATGCTTCCAGAAACAGACTATAACTGGTTAAAACACACCTTACAAAGCTAGTTGTTAAAGGTAGTACTGTGTCAGAGCGGCCACATTTAAGGAGATCACATAGTACATGACTGCTGAGCTCATGAAGATAAGTGCCTCCTCTCATCATAGAAAAGTGTCCTTTACATGAAACAGGATTCTGGAACAGGTCCTGAATTACATACCCAAATATCAACTGTAGACTATGAAACCATACCATTCCGTAACACCGAAGGACAATCACAAAGTGAACTGACCAGGAAAACGCATTTGTGCACTGAAACATTGAATGGGGTATGTTCGTGCGAATATTTCAGATGAAACTTGGAAATACTACCGATCCAGAGATCCTGTCGCTTGACTCTTGATTAACACTTCCTACTTTGCATCAAACATGTCCTGATTGAAGTGTTACTAAGTTTCAAAATTAAAATTAAAAACACACACCAATACCAACTGCATTACCTTGATAAATAAAGGTGATCTCACGAACTAGAATGCAGCAGTGTGGGACAAAACCTGGAACATATTGCTTAGGGCAATCATGGTACTACTAGAAATCTCCAATTTTCAATAATTTCTTAATACATTTAGCCATACGATCACTGCCCCAGAATGCAGTATGCCAAGCAATCTATGATCTGACGGAACCACAACAAATACTTACATCCACGAAAACCGTCTATTAATACATCAGCACTTGAAGCCAACTGCACAAGGACATGGCTTTCCTACACCTTAGGCAAAGTGACATACACTGACGGTGTGACGGGATACTTGATCCGATGCACCAATGTGCCATTTGGCTTAATCATTGATGAAAGCTTGTCCTCTTGGGGAGCCCGTGCCCGTAGCAATGAGAAAACGTGACTATTTAATCTCCGCGCTCTTCGAGCATTCTCCAAAAATGAGGTTACTTCCTGAAACATCATGGAAACTTGAGCTTATGGATTACATGACATTACATCCACGATCACTTTTTAGACAGACCGAAAAACTGAAAGTGATGATTCCTTGGAATATCTCTCATAAATAACACACCTCTTACTGAACATGGAGGAAAATATCACTTATCAAAATGCAACTTTTCATGAAAAAAATGGATGAGAGAACGTACAACGGGATATGAGGTCGTCCCCTTGGCCATCATTTCAATATAAGCCAGGGACGTCGACAATGTATCCGACTCGGCCACAGCAAGTACGTGGTAAGTGAAGTCGAGAAGCTCAAATCGAGTTTCTTGACCCAGAAGATAGACAATTGTGCAGCCCCCCCACGCAACTCCGTCACCATATCGTTCTTCAAAATTCTCACCTTCGATTGGAGGCTGCTGATTCTGAACCTGCTGAATGAACAACACTACCCTAATAAGTAACATGCGAGAGATCTGCTTTGGAGATGTAACTTACTCCTCGAGCTCTTCATCTATGGTCTTGTGTGTAATAAAACAACACATTGTAAAATAGCAACTTCTGAACTTACAGGAGATGTTGCTTGTAGGCCTGGAGAAAATCCTTGCAAGTTGAGCTTTAACACATGTAATATAACTGGATTAGTATTGATGAGGCTCACAATTAATAGTTATTGAAAGGTACATGGCGGTCGAAAGTCAGTAACCAGGTATGGCTGACTAGAAATCAGTCGAGACTTCATAACAAGGTTGATAACGAATGGTTCAAATAAAAATAGAAATAGGAATTATACATGTATAGTATCAAAGAAACAACACTGGAGAGAGAGCCTAAAATACACAACCCAAGTACTTCGCTTGATGCAGTTGCAAAGTAGGTATAAAACGCTTACAAACTGAAAGCTGCTATATATTCGATAGTACTCTCTGGATGTTGTGATTTCAATTAAACCGGACTTGGATGGCTGATCCCATTTATCCCTGACTCTGGCAAGCACAGCTCCAAGGTATGCAAGCGTGTAATCCAGTATGCTACCGGTTTGCAAATTATTCATATACAAAATGTCTGCACAAACAGTGAAAAGATACATTCGCATGATTTCTATTATTTACCTCATGCTCACGTATTCGTCCTCTGGAACATTTACAAAAACCTCACGTAAGGAAAAAAGAAATCTTTGTCATGATCAGTCGAAGAAAAACACCGCACCTGCCACTTGTGCCTGCTTTGCCATGGATACAAAAGCGTTGGGGTTCATACAACCTAAATTTGAAACAACTTCATCGGAAGCTTGCTTGAAGATGCTAACCAAAGGACTGAAATTATCATCAGCTAGCAACTGTTGCAACTGGCCCTCTTTATTGGGAACAACACCCAACCATGGAACTACTTGCATGAAGTGAACTGTTTCAACTTGCCTCTGGAAAAACATATCAACATAAACAGTAGTGAAAAAAAAAAAATAGCATCATTGGAGTAACATGCAATTCCAAATGCACCATGGCCAAGTCAAGTCAAGGCAAACAGTAGGCCAAAACACTCGAAATTTTCGGGTGGAAGAGGCTCTTACCATAGCAGTATCAAGAAGACTCATCCAAAAAATTAGGCTTCCTATTTCTTTCAAATTCAGTAGCATGTCACTGAAACCATCGTATGTACGTGTCCATTGTAGCTGCTCCAAAAAATTCCTTAAACATCCTACCACCGACAAGCATGACCATAGTGAGTTTTAAGTTTCAATTACACTATAAATAAACTGAAGACAACATGAATACATTGCCTCTTATCATCTGGAATAAGAAACGCATGCAAACATGTAAATTTTCTAAGAAGCCAGTCGTTTATCTCAGGAATTTTGGCAACGCAAAATCATCTTAATCTACTTTGCGCATCCCTAAGAATTCCTGATGAATGGGCATACCTTCAACGCCCCAATCATGAGAAGGGATAGCGATAGCTTTCGGCATGCTGTTGCGCAACTCCTCTATCCCAGGCTCCATATTTGTAATCTGAAAATCGACAAAAACATATATGAATCACTTTGCATGAGATGCATTCACAAATAGGTGACATTATATCCCTTGAAAGGCAAAAGCTGACCCTAAGACCATTAATGACCAGCTCGGTCCATGCAACGTTTCTTAAACAATTTCTCTAAAAAGAACCTGTATAGTATGCTCAAGAAAGTTCGATCTATTACTTCCTAAAACCCATTCCTTTGAGAAAGTCCGGAAGCATTGGTACGTGCCCATGTTGTCAAATGGACGCAGCGCATTGTGGATTATATTGGCAACGCAAAACCATCATGGACAGCAAAATTATTGAAACAATAAAAAGATAGGAGACGAGTTGCTGACCTTTTGTGATAGATTATCCAGCAAAGCCCGGACAAGCCATGGAAGTGATCTCGATCCCAATAATTTGACAAGTGCAAACATGTGCGGTAATCCAAAAAAATTGTTGTACAGTTCTGCCATGTGACCGTGAGCCACATTCAAATCCTGAAACACCAGTATATATTATCAGCTCCACAACACTGCTGAGATCGTTCACCTATAAACTGCCTTAAAGCACCCATCTGCAAAACTTAGTGTGGTAAGATTTGTACGTACTGAAGTCCCACAAAGGAAAATGGGATCAGCCTGTGGATTTGGTGGTCTCCGGACTTGTCGTTGGTATTTCACAGAAGATCTGACAAAACGCTGAGTTGTAGTGCATAAAATAAAATTTGGAAAGAAGTCGTTCTGGAGCTCGGTGTACACCTGATTTCACAGTCATTGATTCAGTAGGGTTGAGAACAAACTACTGGCACACAAACCTGCACCGTAACTGCAGAAAACTTCTTCCATCAAGAATTCGGAAGAGAATGTACACAATTTGACCGATGAAAAAGATTTCTGAAAACCTTGTGTTTCCAGAAATATTCTTTAAAACAAGACAAAGAAGCTTTTGAATTCATACCTGAGTAGCCACACGTCCTGAAAAAGATACTAGAGAAATGGTCTCAGTCATCTCTCCCATCATCAAAGGGAATGGATCCATCTTAACATGCTCTGAGAGAAGCTCGTGCGTAAGTCTCAAAATGTCCACAAGCCTTTGAAGATCCTGAAAACCAAACCAGCATGCATGTAAAGACACTGCAGTAAATGCACGTTTAGTTCAATGAGGGATTAAATGAGGAGCAGGTGTTCATGATAAGTGAAAACTTTGTCAAGTCCAAGTCACATACCACAATAGAGCAGAGATCATGTGCTTCAAATCTCTCGAACAAAAAATCAAGGTTTTCCCGGAAAATTTTATTCATACGTTGGCCGATAAGGAATGCCAAATCGATGCTGCGCCCCAGAAGCTGTCACCATAAAGACCTTCAAGTCAGACCTTTATTGATAAGCCCAACAGTGCATTCTTTTAAAATGGGAGTCTGTATCTTACCACAAATCATAATTATACGAAGACGAAACTCAAAAACCCAATTAGATCCCACATTTTACTTCAAGCTAAGAAGGTAACTAAATTTGAGGAGCAGATTATACTGACCTTCACACGCCGAATTCTAAAAAGAAGATCGTAACGCTTTGGAGGAACCTTATACTTTTCTCGATTATCTACAACTGCAAGAAATGAAAGATCCAGCATATCGCTGGTCATGCAGAAAAACCACCAATAACATCGATAAGTCAGCTACCCTAACCGAGTTTGGCTATGGGACGAAAAGTGTGCACCTACCAATGGAAAAATCAAAAGCAATAGTTGATAAAGTTCATGACTGGATTCTTTTCTAATAAAAACCTAAATTGGCACATAGAACTAAGAATACTAATCAACCTTGAGATTAATTTTTGCAATACAATTTAAAGCTAGCGACTTTAGCTACATATGCAAAACAAAGATAGTTCTCTCCATACGTGCATCGTACAAAAAGATCACTAACATGCTTATCTACAGCTATGCTTGATGACAACAATTACCTTGCTGCCCGGGATTTGTAGTAACCAAAGATGTTCTCACTCAACTTGTACACTAATTGATCAAAACATAGATCTACCTGCAATTTCAACAAACCAGAATAAACAAATTGACATGTATCTTCGTCTAAGTAGCAAATAACCACACCAAAGGTAATTAAAAAGGATAATGAGACTAAAAGTTGAATAAAACTGTGCATAAGCTCCATCATCTGGTCTAACATAAGCTCCACATTAAATACATATATTTTGGAAAAGCTGTTGAACCTCTTCCCATGAACACATAAAAAAAAATTATTACCTCAGCTTCAATTTCATCATAGAGGAATCGCTGCTTCAAGGCACGAAGTGCATGATCTGCTGCATCATTATAGACGTCGAAGGGCATAAGAATACTCTCCAGCAAGCCTCCCTCTTTTGACTCGATTACATACTCCACCAACATCCACGGCAACGAGCACTCGATTGGAAACTGGAAGAAAGTAATAAAGTCAGAATCTCAGAGCTGTAAATGAACGACTGAGGATGTTGATCTGCAACAGAATCCGAAAAATATATCCTCTAAATCGCGGTTCCACTTGACTTGCAAATTCCAGATAGAGCAGTCTATACCACAATCTGCAGTTCCCATAAACGGTGAAACAAAACTCTTTGAAAGGATCATACATAAAGTCTACTAGGTATTGTACTTCAAATGTAAATTGCATTCACTAAAAAATAGGTGAACATCCGAGCGATTTCACACTGCAGCGGAGACTAGACCTGGATAACACGTGAAGTCTCCAGATAAAACTCTCGAAACCAAAGAAATCCCAGGTCGGTCAAGTTCGCAAGTGTAGCTGTAGGCACAAACAGACAAACACTTGTCAAGCCTAGAACATGAGAAGTCCACTAAAGTAGGAATTTCTAATAAAAATATAACTTCTCCAAAGAACAAATGATGCACCTCGATAGTCTAGTATATGGGGGAAGAAAGCCAGTCTGTTGAAAAAATTCTCCAGCTGTCTCATGTCCCCTGCCGGAATATCAACATCATTTCCCGTGAAAAAGCCGCCTGACTGTTTTGGACTGCCTCCAGATACGAGCTCGTGGATCAAATACTGCAAACAATGAAGCTGCAAATATTGACGGGTCAGCATCACTGCTCAGTTACATTTACTGTAAAGCCGAAAGTGTCGCATTAACAGAAAAGACTGAAATGTGAATGCACTATTTCAAATTTGTTAAGACTAACCTTCTCCTCAATGCTGCATGGTTGCCAACAACGAAAAACCCATACAAGGACATTTATGGGCGTTTCTACTGAAGCATTGCGTTCAATGCATCCAACCCTAAAGAAATAGAGAGTAAAACCTGTCCAGCAGTTGGAGCAGCTGGTCGCGTCCGAAAAGTAACCGGGACTCCAACACCTTCTTCTCTCAATCTTGAAGCCTGTCCAGCTAGGTGACTTGTGTTTCCCATCCAATCAGCAGCAATTATTCTCATATCATTCAGTATTCTGCAAATCGAATAAATACATCAACACTGTGGTCAACTGGGATAAAGTAAAGGTCTCTAAAAATAGGTGCTAAAAAAAACATAAGTAAATAAATGAAACTGAATGAAGATGGTGGATAATTTCTATGAAATTTTTCATTCAGCGCAATCACCTAGACATCTCCTTCTTTTTCTTGAAAGTGGTGCGGAGCATGATAGCGAGTTTATTTTGAACAAACTCCTGAACTTGAGCATGCAAAACCTCCCAAATTGAGTCGGCCACGAGAGTATCGACTCTCTCCATCATAGTACCCACACCTTTTATATAACTTATCAGCTCCACCAAAGCCTTCCTTTCCAGAGGTGTGTAATTGCAACGCACCACCTGTAAATGACAGCCAAGTCATAAAATTTGAAACCACCAATATTCTAGTAAATTTTCATCCAACATCAATCCAATAGGTACAGGTGAATAAAAAGTAGAAGATGTTCTAAACCTTCTCATAATCAGTCACTTCATTCGATCTCTCAGGATCAAATGGGGTTGCGTCTTTAGCGGGTCGAGAAAATTTCCAAGCACTCTGTTCCCATATTCGCCCTGTCCACTCACTCAACAATTGAAAGCCTTCAACTATAACCAGATACATATCTTCCTTTACATGCGTACTTTCTGTTGAATCTGCATCCTTCGCCATTTTCATCAGTTGCAGCTGCAAAATGGAACAACCAGAAAGTACATACCAAACTTGTCAGCTGATGATCAAAAGAATGCAGACAGAGGTGGAAAAAAAAGCTCTACTTCAAAATTCAGCGGGCGCGGCTTGTTGGAGGAACCTGGTTCAAGGCAGCGGCAAATCTCAAGGCATACTCATCATGCTGAGATCTAATCGTCACCATATGATTTACAATAAGGTACTCCCTCTGGTACTTGCTGCTAGTTAAGGACCTCATGATATATTGGTTAAAACGTCAGTAACGATTAACAGCAAGATCATCTGAATGTAATTTCTCGCATACTCTTCAAAGACCACTATTGATTCGTGGCTTTTCATCTGAAAAAGCCTTAAAGCGAATTAAAAAGACATCGACCTATGCATCAAAAAAACCGTGCCAGTAATTGCATGTAGTCAAAACACATACATTAAAAGAGCTCTAACAGTCAAAAACCAGTCACTGACAACAAAGTAAGTTTCTTCGAGAGGATATTCTGAAGCTTCTCGGGGGCTTAGTTCATGTGGCAAAGGAACCCCAATTTGTCGAACCTGGGCTGAAACTTTCTGGAAGTATGGAGCTAGTTCTTTGAGAATGCTTGCAGGGGCTAGATGCAGGTCCGGAAACGCAGGAATAACTGGATCCCCCTGCAGCACAAAAGATTAAAAGGTTTAAAGCTTAACAGGATATGAAATTCCGACCTCAACGAGCTAAAAAGCATTAATTTTCATGTGATTACACTAGAGGCAAAAAATGAAGAGCATAGTTTCACTGCATAGAGTAGGCCACAACTCAAAAGCCTTCTGCGAACATTTAAATATCAAATAATCAATATGGATAATGTCCAACCCTAAAGATGCGTATAAGTCGAGGAAGCTTGATTCTCTTAAAGAACGATTCTCCTTCTTTTTCTCCAGATGTGGCAAGAACCACCAAGACGGGCAGCACACGAAGGAGACAATGCCGCTCGGAATAAAGTAAAACACGATCCGATTCCAGAGACTCGAGGCAAAACAGAATGAGGACTTGCAAAACGTCCTCCACACTTTACAGAAAGTAGTAACAGTCAAGGTAGCAAATAACAGTCCAAGAAATTTTGAAGAGAAAAACACTTAAGCTGGTAGGAGTACCAAGGATAGCTTATGAAACAATGTTACGGAAGGCTCTGACACTATTTGACAGCAGACTAAACTGTCAATCAGGAGGATACCCATTTACCCGAAACACCTCTGCTTGTAAGTTCAGGAGTATTGTCCATCTCGTACTGAGAAAAATCTGGCCACATGACAGCAAAACAAACTAAGGCTTGACCAGCATTAACTTATTCTACGAAGATTTTCAATACATGCACCTAAATGGGATAAAACTTGCGTGTGGACCAGATTCCTGCCCTAATCAAGGAGCATTCGTTTAAATTGACAATAAGGGCATTTTGATTAAAAAACCTGCAAATCATCAAGTTCTTCACGCATCCCATCGGTGTCAGGCCATTGCGTGCTGATTTGGGTGAACGTTCTGCAAAAATAAACCGTTTCACTTTGTAGATGAGCGTGAATTGCTTCAAAATACATAATTTCAATTCATTTGGAGTATTAGAATGAAAAAGAAATAAATGAACACCTTGAGTAGTCCGGGAGACTTTGTGTACGAAAATAATGTTGTGGCTTGCAAAAGAATCAGAATAAAAAGATTTAAAAGAACGAGCTTGAAAGCGAGGAAAGAATGAGCGAGCTTAGCATAATAGGACTTCACCAACTGTAAACACAGACCTCTTGTACCAAGAAAAGTCGTTCGGAATGCTGGCCTTCGCATTCTTAAGGTGATCCAGCTGCAAAAGCACATCAAGCAGCCTCAACATGCCCCTGCACACACATAATCACTCTTATTAGCACTGGTGTTTAAAGCAATCATTATAGGGACTGCAAAATTCATTATCAAAAATAAATAAATAAACAAATAAAAGACTCACTTCATGATTTTATACGTCTGTAAGATCGACTAATAGAATCATTTACAATACCTGTAAGCAATAACTATTGTAAACTCATTATTGCATTTCTAGGACATAAGTATGAAAAATGAGGTAAAACCACCAAACCCATGGTTCACCTAAAGATATATTTTGAAACAAGCTTTTTTCGATATACGCGTATCAAGTCATGTGTATCGAACTCACATCAAACAGTATGGCCAAGAATTATACTGTCCAAAATAGGTGGAAATTCTCAATGTGATAACTATTTGAGTATATAAACCTTTTGTGGCACACGTCCAGAAGTCTACAAACCCCTAGTTTTTATTGAATGCTTTGATTGAAACTGTCAGAAGTTTAAACGGTTATGAGTCTTACGAATATAAAAAGTTCCTCACGACAGATTATTGAAAGACGATTACGGTATTTTAAACAAGTTGTGTTGAGAGATTCAAAACTTGAAATTTTACAGCTGATATTAGCCAGCTCGCTTTTGATCCTTAGCATGACAGACTTTGAACTTGAGCTGAAGAACTCATGTAAAGGAACTTATCCATGAAAGCATAAGGGTAAGAAACCTGTGCTGTACCACATGTGCGTGACTGTAGGACCCTTGACTTTCTTGTCAGATCGCGAGAATTTATGCATATCGCTGGCGAGCTGTTAGGAACCCACCAATTTAGAGTACCACAAGTCAACAAGAGTATACACAGTGCTTGTTCCTAATGAATTCACTACAATAGATAAAAGCTTCCCAACTATATAAACCAAAACCATTATCTATCTGCTCGCCGTAATAAAGAACTTGTATAAACTATGAACTTATCCGACATATTAAAATAAAGGCCAACCTTACCTTAGTGGAAGCAGCAGCTTGCCATCGCTGCATTCCACGAAGACGACCAATTTCTACATCCAGCACCTGATACGTTTCCAGGTACAAGTCTCCTTGACTTTGCTTCATGGACTCTGGTAGCTGTTGTCTCGATTGCATACAACCGGCATAATAAGAATACCATAATACATGGACTAAATGTACCAAAGTGTAAAAAACGCTAAATTAAAACGCTGGCTTCTTCAAGAAAAAAATCCGTTGACTAAAAAGCAAATTATTAAATACAGATAACGTTCTAGGTGGCTGCAATTACTGACTTGCGGCAAAGCTTTAACACAGCTCCGGTAGGAGTATAGGACAGCCACAAGATCACGTCCCTCCATAACGAGAGTATCCTGGCCCACAGACAAAGGTATCTACAGTGAGCAGCGGCTGTTGAAAATATACATGCAGTCACCAACGCGGATCTTTAGAGCAGTCAAGAATTAAACAGAAAAAAATTCTCAAACAACAAACGTCTAGAAAACATACCAACTGGGTAATTGCAACTGTATCCTCAGCAAGTGAGAGCTGGTATGCTGGCACGTCCTCATAGTCTGAGCATTATTGCATGGTAGAAATCACAAAATTAGGAACAAAAAATAACAGTGCACCGAAGACTACACTTGATACCAGATGTAAGATATTGGACACCACCAAGAACTGATATATTTACTAGAGATTCTTAAAGCCCCAGTTCTAGCTTACCGTACAGCAGGTGATCCTACGTATTCGTGCTCCTTCTATCAACCTATGCAACCAAACCAGTCGACAAAGCAAAGAAGCGTACCTAATGGACTTTCTGTACTGCTGCGACCACCAACTAGAGTGACAGCAAGTCCTTGGATGTCAGGCTGGTCATCCTGTCAGTACAAAAATACAGTCAACTTTAGCTCGAAGAGCCGTTCGTCGTCGTACTGATTAGAACAGTTATTCATGCAGACGGTAATCTGTAATATTAAAATAAAATATATATTTTAAAAAATATATATAAAAAATCGTCTGACAGAAGTTTCCGCTACTACTTCTACAGTTTTCCGACTATCAGTTTCACAATGCTCCCGGTTAAAGGGTCGGGCAGCATAACCAAATTCACCTCAAATAATTCTACTTGCTGAATCTAAATTTGGTGCATGGCACAGGAGCACGAAGAGACAAGGAATGTACACAGATTATTGATTCAGGAAACTGGCCCCAAATTGATTCCGATTCTAAGTCAAGTAAAAGTGAAAGGAATTGCAATGGCCAAAAGCAGCCATACGGTTTCTAGCGTTGCATTCACCTATTTCTGCCGATAAAATGGACACATTATCCTCAGTTCAAAACCAAAAATCTCAGGAACGAGAAACTTGCAGCTGTAATCCCACTTCTCAAGTGTGTACAGACAGTGAGAAAGAATCTCCGCCGGTCTATGCTATTTACGGTGGACAAGAACTAGTGATACTTTGGAAACAGGTAATTCTACTAAGATTTTCGTAACTTTACAAGGCACCCATGCCCAAGCCGACTCGTCCCTGGAATACTTTCAGAGTAAAACATGGAGAAGTAAACTCCGGCGAATCGATCTCAGTTAACTTTTCTGGCGTACAGGGAATAGAAGGTGGATTCAAGTACACGTTTATTCTGTAAGGTGGAGAGCCGGCCAATCAACGACGATGCCTACCGTCACTGCTGCTCAAATTTCTCTCTTCCGGCTGTTGAAGCCTTCGAATGAGACTGTGAACGGAGAAGGGACACGCGGATTCGATAACCAAGGCTCCAAAATTGAGTTCACGGACAGTAACTAGCATCTAAACAGCCCTGAAAGTGGTGATAAAGGACCCGATTAGGTACTTCAGTCTGGTGACAGCCAGTTTACTGGATTCACTGGCAAGCACTACTGTAGTGGTCGTTACCGACACTTGAATTTTCTTTCTCGCCACATTCGCCGCATCTAGAGGAATAAATAAATTTGGGCTTCTGAAGGATCGCGGACCCCTTAATTCATCCACTACATCAACTGCTTGGATGACGTCCAAACACCCGGTTTGTGCAACTCATTCATGCTGCATTCGCAAGGCTACACACATCTCTCATCTCACTTGATGGGCCGTTCCATAAACCACGAGCGATATCGTGCAACTGCATCCTAAAAAAATTGCTCAATCAATAGCATTGACTAGTCCAATCTTTATCAAATTCATATCCCTGTCCTGCACTTAAGGCACTAGCATTGCTATTTTCCCAAACCGTTCCGCGTGACGAGCTGCAGAATCTACGCAGTAACTAAAACCTCACGAAAACCTGAATAAAAAATCGAAGACATCATCTATCTTGCTGCATGCCAGTTCTGAACCGCAACAAGTATCTCCAAGATTCGAATTCTGAAAACCAGCGCGGCATTCCAGTACCGCGCATTTCCTCCAAGCCGCCAACGCAGCTTTAGCGAGATCATACTTTCGCAACGCACTAACCAAAAACACTGACACACCATGGGAAAAAAAAAGAAACTAAATAAACTAAAGACTAAAATCGTAGAAAAGTAAAATAATAATAATAATGTTAATAACAATAATAATAATCTAGTCACAGATCTAGCACAATGGCAACAATCACGAACCTCAAGGGAGAAGGTAGCAAGGGCTGCCACAGCCTCCTCCACAGGAACAGCCATTGCGACAGAAGCAGGATACAGATCTCCCCGACGAGCGCAGCCCCTCACATATTCTCACCACACCAACAAGCGCGCAACTCACACGACAACACCCTCGACAGTCGACACGCCCTGCCAGCCTCGATTCCAGAACCACAACTCAAACCCTAAGCCATCACCACAGCGCCTGCAATCCACAGATCCTCGTTCCCCCTTCCACTCCCCCCTCTCCTTGCTTCCCTTTTCTTTCCTCCGTCCTTTGTCTACCTCAAACCGACGCGCAAAACCTCAAGATCTTGAACAGAGACAGAAAGCGCCAACATCACGACGCAACAAAGGGAGCAATAACAGCAGCAGCAGTAGTAGCAGCAATAGCAGCATTAGCATTGGCATTGGTAGTTAAGAAAGGGAGCGAGCAAATGTAGGCACCGATCTCGGAAAGCGTCGTCGTCGTCTCCATACCCGCAGGGCTGCTGCTACTGCTACCACTGCTGCTTCTGTTGGCGTCGCCACCGCACCCCCTTCCATTTCCCCTCCCCGTTTCTATTCTCGAGCCCCCCTATTAGTATCCGTATCCGTATCTAAACGGAAGTATGTAGGTTTGTGTAATGTATTTGTGTTGTATTGTACTAGTATGATGCGGGGGTATGCTACGTTGGTTGCGCCCGGCAGAGTGAGAGTGAGAGAGTCAAAAGGGTGGCTGCTCTTTTTGTTTTGAGTTTTTTTAAAATAGTTCATGATATCTGTAGATAACTATGTACATATGTTGTTTTTTTATTTTTTGTTTTGTCGTAAGAATATGTCTGAATGTGTGTGTATGATTGGTAATTCATGTCTGGATTGGAGGTACCCCAATTCCATCATACAATTCCATTCACATAGTTTGTGACAAATTAAGTACAAGATTGAATCCATACTTGTGTAGAGTCACAATAAACAAAATCTTAATTCAAAGGTAATAACTTAGATTTTTCTTTTAGTTTATGTCATTGTTATTACTATTACTGTTATTATGGGATTTAATATATTATGGGACTATGGGTTTAGATCATGAAGTAAGTAACCATTTTAAAAAGATGAACTGGTATCATGAATTTTAAAATTATTCATTTAATTATATCTAGCATTTAGATTCATTCAAAAACAAATAAATACATCAAGATACAAATAAATGATTATTTTAATATATATATATATATATATATTAACATAAAAATCTTAATAAGTAAGATCAAAAAATTAAAATTTTAGAAAGTGAATAAATTTTCTTAAGCTTAAAATTAGATAGTATAATAATGTATTAAATTTAGTAAGGGTATTATTTTCACTTCAGAAATAATACATGTCTCATTGTATTAAAATTAAAAGTATTGGTCTATGTGCAAAATAAATTTTGATTCAAACAAATATTTTTAATACTATTGACATTGGCATTTATGTTGATTGCCATCAATTAATAGCTATTGCTTCTACTATAAATCTAATATTTTTGTAGCTAATTCTAACATTGTTAATTGATATTGCTTATTATTGTTTTAGACCATGTGTTGATTATTATATTACATTAAAATATAAAAAATGTGACCAAGAATCGTACAAATATACTATATTAAAAGAATAAAGAAGAAATAATAATAAAATATAACATACAGATAATAAAATATAAATAAAATATTTAAAAAAAAATTAAAAGAAAATTAATTGCATTGTTAAAATCTAATATTAAAAATTATTTTATTTATTTATTAAAAAAATCATAATATTATATATATATACCAATACATATTATATATTAGTTAATTATTTTAATATATTATCTTTAAATCAAATCAAGGAATTATAATACTATTATGCAAATTTTTTTGTATATTTTAAAATATTAATTAAATAATATCTTGATTAAGTAAGATTATGTCTAAAATTTATTTATAGAATATCTACATAAAATATATAAATAAATTTTATTATTAATTTAAATATAAATTTATAAATTAAATAATAATTTTAATATTTCTTTATTATTTGGTAATAAAAGTAATCAAATTATGGTATTATAATATTTCTTTGATTTTATAAATCCATTACATGGAATATTTTTTTAATTTAAACTTTAAAATATATTAAATAATTATAAAATACTCATATATTAAAACTAAATTCACATATATACATATATTTTTGTACATATTTTTTGAATAAAGATATTTTATTAAATTATTTAAAAAATTATGAAAACTCTCAACAATGCACAATTTTCTTAGGTTGAGTTTTATAAAATTACTTGTAGCAATTGCAACCTTCTTGGACTTAGACACATCCATCATCTAGGCCACCATGTCAATAACATCATGTTGATAAAGAATCATATAAAATTTCTCAACTTTAGCAAACACTTAAACTAACATTGCCTTGTCATTATAGTTAAGAATAATTCTTAGTATAGCTAAGTCTAAGAATTGCTTATGAATCTTAGATAAAAAAATCTTCACAAATAGACTCTCAACAAGTACACTTCTTAATTTTACTGCAAATTGAGCCAAACAATTATACATGGTATATAAGATATATATTTTTTTACATCAAAAGTCTTGAATGTGTTGCATTTGGTTATATCTAAAATTCCAATACTTATTTTTTAAGTATTTAATAAATATTTGGAAGAGCTAAAATGATGGTGGCTCTCTCATTGTAAACAAAGTTATCTTCATTGCTTCAATTATTCTAAATAAAGTAAATAGAATGTTATCAAAGACCATTGTTAATTATTTTTTTTATTTTTTTGCTTTCTTTTGAAGATATTTCAACTTTTACTTTATGTAGATCTTCTTTCTTCACTATAGATATTATGCTTGAAATAGCACCTCCTTTAAGATCTAAAATAAATTCTGTTATTATTTTCCAATAATTCTTCACTTTCCACAATTCAAGTAAGTATTATTTATTCCATCTTCCATAAGTTTGAAATACCTCATGCTCCAAATATTGTAATAATTTCTCAATGGTATACCACTCATTGAAAGTGGAAGACCTTTGGTACTTTTCTTTAATCCACACTTGGAACTTGAGTTTCTAATTAGGCAATGAAATATCTTTAACTTATCTTCAAAACCAATCTCTCACCATGTTACAAGGATTGTCTTCCATCTTATAAAATGTATCTATACTTAAAATTTAAAGCCTCCTAGTAGTATCCAATGCCAAAAGAAGCTAAAAAACTTCATTAGTATTCACTACTAGCTTAAAGCCTTAGAAGAGATTATTATTCAAGTAAGTTGGTAAAAAAAATTGATAATATTAACTCCTAGCATGTACCATAAAATAAAATAAACTAATTAAATATTTACAATTGTTTTAAGATTTAAGAGCAATATGTATATAATGGGGTATAGATAAGATATTTGTAATGTTGATGTATAGAGATAGGTAGTTGGAGCTATTTTTAAGAAATTTATAGAAGTTTCTAGAATTGAGACTAGGTTGATGGTATATGTGGGATCTACTATAGAACATTCTACAAAAGGCTTAAGGCAGTTATCTTAGTAAGTTCCACCATTAAAAATATTCTAGAAAATTCCAAGATAGTTGGATAAAGTATAAATAGCACTAGCTAAGGCCATTTGGATATTTGATCGAGTATGGATTCAGTTCTTATTTCTTAGTAAAGTTTGGTTTTGTATTTTCCTATTCAATTTTGTTTTATTCTCTATTATTTTGTTCCATCTTTCATATTCTATTCTATTTAGTTTTGTTCAATTGTGTATTGGTCTATAGTATCTTACATTATAATAGGATTTATATTGCTATAGATTAGAATGATCTTAAATCTTAGAGAGAATCCAATCTCATTTCAATGTGCTTGCAACCACCACCAAGCTTTGTAATTCTCTAGTCATCACCTTCAAATTATTATAAGTCTAAAAAACCAATAAATAAAAGAATTTTACAAGCAATTAGCTTGACTTCATTCCTATGATATACCTATTAATATTAATTAGCACAACATAAAATAGATCAATACTAAAAATCTTTAGAAATAATATCCACAACTAAAAGAAGAGACCAAAGGCAAAATCTAAAAATCCATATTAGATCTTTATTTCCAACAATACAAAAGTAAAAATTACAAATAAACCAAATAATCAACATCTATATGCGGTTGGAAGTCACAAATTAAAAATAAACCAAAGCAATTAGCATCCACTTGCAATTGATGGTTACAATTATAATGTCATAGATATATATCTAATGTAATTATTAACTATGTAATATGAATAGATAAAAGTAAGTAAAAATAGATTAATTTCATAATATCTTGTAGCAAAGCTTTTGAGAAGCTTTTTAGATACTATTTTAACTTAAGATGTATTTTTAATTGATTTATAGATTAGAAACTTAGTCAATAAGCTAATTATATACTATATGTATTGATAGCTTGTGAAATAAGCTAATTTTGTGGCGCCCATATAAAAAACTTGACTTGCAAGCTAAAATATGTGTTATGCAAAGTCAATACATTTTTGGAGGTCCTATAGAATGTCACCATATAGATCTTATGTAGATAGTATATATAGAGGCAAGAGTGAAGCCTTCTTCACTCTTGTCAATTCCTTTCTTATTTCTAGTCTAGTTTCAAGAGTCTCTAGTTTCCTTGTCTTTTAGCAATAGCCATTTCAGTTTCTTATTTAATATACATACTTTTCTATTTGTATTTTTTCATATTTCTTTGATAGAGTCTCACTTGTTTATTTGCTTTAATCAAGTTCTAATTGTTGAAAAATTGATAAGAATATACTTACAATATCAAAGCTTTATCTTTTCTTCATTAAAAGTAAATTATTTCTTTTATTGATGTGACTTAAGTTTGTTAGGAATTGCAGATTATCTTCTTTTAAGCTGATATTGTCCTTAGTATTTTTTTCTTTGTTTTCAAAACTTTTATTTTATTTATCTTGAATAATATTGAAAATCTTTTTTTCTTTAAGTATTAGTATTGTAGAGCTTCTTGAAATGAAAAGTACAATGGTACAAATGCAAGAGCAATTAAGGGAGTTAATACTTATGATACATCAATTCAATCTACTACCACAATGAGCAAAGATATAGAATTGATTGGAGCTGCTTCAACATCTGCATCAAATCATGTCTCTTCTTCTATAATATAACATCTTTCTAGTATTAGAAAACCAAGGATTGCACTTCTTGAGAAGTTTCATGGCACAAGATCCAAATTTCAAGGATTAATCAATTAATTACAACTTGTAATTGAACTTCAACTCCAAAGCTATCTAACTCTAGGATTGTAAGTTAGACTCATTAGTACACTTGTTTTAGAATCAATATTATTGTAGTTTTTATCTTTTTTTGAACGACAAAATCTAATATTTGATAAATCAAGAAACTTTTTTAGTAGAATTTTAATTTATATGTAGAAAACATGATATAATTTGTATTGCAATTAATAAGGTTTGTGTTTTGCAGCAAGGCAATCAATAGATAA